TCCTGGAGTTCAAAATATCAAATAAACCATTAAACACACGAATAAACTTTATTGTTGGCTGGCAATTTTCGAAGCCTGGTATTCCACTAATTAAAACAAAACTCTAATGATGATGCGACACTCTCGCTAAGTAATTATGCAGCCAATTTTACATTCATTTTCTTCTAAAACCATTGCAGGTGCGCTGACCGTAGTTTGTTCCCCAATTGTAAACCTTCATTTTCTTAAGGTTGGTGAAGTTTTTCAATATATTCCCACTTCACTTCCACCATCAACTAAGGATTTTTTATCACCAATTGTATTACGTACTTATTCAAGCATATGGCAAAGATAAAAAAAAAGTACCACCTATTCTTTAGTTTCTGGATGTTGAAACCAAGCTTTAAAATTAGAGTCAGCTGAATCAGTATTGCATTCTAGGTATTTTGCCATAGAAAAGTTTGAAGAACAACCATCACAAGTAAAGGATGCAACAGTCACACAAATACTATGAAGTTTGGTAAGGCACTGCCGGACCAAATTAGCTCGTTGTTTCCCTGTAGGCCCATCAATCAAAAAGTAAGCTATTGGAAGCTTAAATGAATCATTCATATAAACAACGATAAATGTTAGTGCTTTTTTTGCTAAAAGCAAGCTATCATCATCAATTTCAGTCCCATAATCTATGTAGTTTTGGTACTTTTTGCTATCCCACTCAACTTGTTGTCTAATTGCAACTTCATCCATTATTAAAGCGCAAAGAAGGTTCTTATTTTTTGCAGCCATCTCAGACACTTTATGTTGCAAAGCTGTAAACGACTCTGCTGTAAAATCTGGCTTACAAGTAATAGTGTGAAACCACTTCTCAATTGTTCTTGGATGCGGAAGACAAGTATTAAACATTTTGCGCACATATCGATATGCATTAGGCAAATAGAAATGCAAGGTTAAAGCAAAACTTTTTAATTCTGGTGAAAATATTTGCTGAGTAGATTTTCCTAAGCATTTTGAAAGTTGTCTTCGTAACAAATCTCCTACCCCTCCAGCAGACTTTTGCAATATATAAAGGCTCTCACCTTCCAGTACATTATTTTCCTCAAGATCAGCAATAACATTTTTTAATCTAGCATTTCTCTTAGCAAGCCTCCTTTTTCTTTGTTGTAAAAGTTTTTTGTTTTTTTGTTTAAAAAAAGCTAAAGATCTTTCTGCCTTGCATAGCTTTCGATTTAAGTTTGCTTTTCTTGGAATTTCATCACTGGTAATAGCAGCTTGAAATTCGACTGTCATTGGTAGTGAAGTGCAAGAATTAGAAAAGTCATCATTTATAACACTTGCAGTCATTAAATCCGAGTTTACTTAGGTTCTCAATTTTGGAGCCTTACGAACTGGTTCAGCTTTTTATAAGTAGTATGGAAAAGCTTCAAAAAGGCTTAGTATGGCATTACAGTGTTATGGCGTACCAAACTCTCACACACGAGAGACTAGTTCTATCCATATCAGCTTCTGTAAAGTGCTTTGAACACACAATTGGTGATTTATGCGGGTCAGTAAAGTTTTCTCTACGTAAAGCAGTTATCCATTTTTGTCTTAATTCTGGATATTTGATTTTTGATGGAAATTTATAAAAATATTATTTGACTTATAAAACAAAGAAATCACCAGAGTAATGGCATATATTATTCCTTTGTGGAATTTTTTTGTATGATACAGCTTAACATACCTATGAAAAGTAATTCCATTAGCACGATCTCTTGTAGTACATCCATAGGCAGAACAAGATGGCATGTCAGTTTATATCTGTTTATTAACTATATAGTCTACACTCAGTATAAATCATAAAAAGCTAAAAACAATACAGTTAATGTTTATAAAAATCTTTTTTTACTTTATTTTATTATTTTATTTATTTATGCTTATATATATATATATATATATATATATATATATATATATTATATATATATATATATATATATATATATATATATATTAGGTACGTGAGTAAAAATTTTAAATTGTTTGAATACTATAATGTTATATATCATTAGAAAGAGGATTATTACAGTATTTTAGAGGTGAAATTATCAAAATCGAACAACTGGTTCAAAAGCTATGACGGTTTAAGTATTGATTTTTCTATATATGGATTTGTTGAAGAAACTGTGGTCAAAATAATGTTTTTCTTCACTTAAATTTTCATAACTTTGTCAATTCTTATCGAAAAACAAATATCTTGGCGTCAAAAATCAGTTGTAGGAGTGGGCTACAACTTTATGTTAAATCCCAAACACCGGGCGTTTTGGATTGACAGAGAGGGCACCAAACCACCACCATGCCTATATGAAATTGAACACTTTTTTCAGAAAAAAAGTTTTTTTAAAGACATAAGCAATATAAATATTAAAAAAAAATTGTTTTAAATTTATACTAAACCATTAAAATATATGAGAGGTGTATGTTAGCAATAGAGGTGGGTGTGGTGGTGGTGGTTTGATACACCCTAGTATCAAAAACGACTTGATTTTATATTTAAAACTTTACTAAATTGTGTAAAATTAGTATACAATATAAAATTATGTTATATAAGATCTTACGTATACAAGTGGTGTGTCTATAACGGGAGGGACGTATGCCCTCCCCCACCCATCCTAAAAATAATAAATACAATTACTGTTTTCAAAATTTGAATAATAAATTTAAAAATGAAGTTATGAAATTGGAAATAAATTTAAAAAAAAATTATATCAGACAACTATCAAATATGGGAGATGAATGTTAAACTCATAGTAGATATGTTGATGATATTTTAAAGAAGAAAGAGGCATTCTAATGCCCCTTCCCCCTCTAACCTAATATTATTATTTAATTGGTTATACAATACTAAAAAAATTATACAACTACTATTTTGGGGCTATAAATAAGTCAATTGGCTGTAAAAAACATGTCATCTTTATAACCAAGTATAACAAATACCTATATTATTGTAATTCACGTGATTCTCACATGAACAGAACCATACAGTATGGTTAACGAGCTAGCCATTTTCTTCGGTTAACAAACAAATTTCCTGTTTCAAAATAAATAATAAATAAGATGTTAACATAAAAAAATTATAGTTTGCAATTATTTTAAAGATGATTTAATATAATTTTTATCTTGGCTTTTAGTGAATGATTAAAATGATTAATTCCAATAATGAAACTATATTTTAATCATCTTTAACGATAGACACCACATGAAGGTAAGCCAGAGCCGTCTATCATAAAATTTAACGTCACAACACTTGCTGTATTATTTATGTAAGTCACAACACTTGCTGCATTATATATACAAGTCACAACACTTGCTGTATTAATTATGCAAGTCACAACACTTGCTGTATTTATGCAAGTCACAACACTTGCTGTATTAGTTATGCAAGTCATAACACTTGCAACATATTTTTGACAAGTCACAACACTTGCAGTGTTATTAAATTAATTAAACTGTAACTAACCGGAAACAACATCAGCAGAAAGCTGGATCTTTTTCATGTAATAGTCAACAGCTCAAATTCAATATCAGTTTCATCATCTTTCCAGTAAGAAATGGTGTAAATATAGGGCCATCCATAAAGGACGTCATCCGAATAGGGGGAGGGGGTCGAATTAAAAAAGGACAAAAAAGGACAAGGGGAGGGGGGGGGAAGGTAGTCAGAATAGGACGTCACCAAAAATTGGCTAAAAAATGGTGACATCCTTTTTAAATGGCACCTATAGTTATTTTTTCTTTTATTAACTTTTTCTATTCTGTCGCTATATAAAACACTTTTGCATGTTTTTTGATTGTACCATTCATGTTCTAGTTTCTTCCGAACAATTCTATCTGACTAGACATCTTCTAAATCAAATATTTGGTCATTGGACAAGCGCTTGCATGAATTAATAATTTCATTAAAATTCAATTTGGATAGCTCACGCTCTAACTTTCTTTTTTCTTTTTCATCCATTTTTTGATGCTTGATTATTTGTCTTTGGCAAATCTCATCTCTCACTTTGCATCGATGCAGTTGATTTGTAAATCTGTTTTTATGTGCTACATTAATTGACCATTTAACAATCATTTCTCTTAAATTTAAATCTATATATATATATATATATATATATATATATATATATATATATATATATATATATATATATATATATATATATATATATATATATATATATATATATATATATATATATATATATATATATATATAAGCCTTACTAACAGTAACAGATAAAGTTGATACTAAAAAATAAAAATACAATTCATAAAATAACCTTTATTATTTATTATTTTGTAATTAAAACCATAATGAAAAGTAAAAACATATAAACCTTACCAACAGTAATGGAAGAAGATGATACTAAAAAAATAAAAATACAATACACAACGTATCCTCACAATTATTTTGCAATTAAAATCATATTGAAAAGTAAGAATATATACACCTTACCAGATGGTTTAGACGACAGCGACACTAAACTTAAATTAAATGGCATAATACAAGTCTCCCTCTCTCTCTCTATATATATATAACAATATATAACAATTTTATATAACAAATCTCTTACCAATTATTGAAGTAAGGTTTGCTAAAGATAAAGAAAATAAAGTAAAGTTTTGGAAATTGAATGGAATATTTTTAAACTTTAAAATACATTTGTTTCGAGTTTTATAATGATGTATTAATAATTTATACACTTGAAAATATTGAAATCAACAAAACTTACTTATCTGTTTGCCATATTCACCTAAATGCCAATGTTAAAATAAAACATTTATTAGAAGTTTAAAATTGTTATTATGTATCAATAAGTTATATGTTGAAAAATATAGAAATATACAAAACTTACATATCTGCTTGGCCTACTCACCTAAATGCCAAATTTAAATCAAAACATTTATTTAACAAGGAATACTAACACAGCATACAAATACTTTAAATGATATAGTAACTAAAACAATTCAAACTTAACTTACTGATTGTTTGTTCTATATTATCTACAGAAAAAAAAAAGTGACTTAATAAAATGTAAGCATTAAGTATACAAAAATACAACTAACAAGAAATAATATTGTTAGACAACAATCTACATAGGCATAATAAAGAACTGTATAAGAAAATTAATAGTTAATGACTAAATACTAAAATGTTAAATCATATAATAGGGATATAACTAACTGATCCTGTCTAAAGCAACTTCATCTAAACAAAAATTATTAAAACTTTGTTTTAACAAAGTAATTTAAAAATTTGCATATAGTAAATCATTTATATATATATATATATATATATATATATATATATATATATATATATATATATATATATATATAAATATATATATATGTATAAATATATATATATATATATATATATATATATATATATATATATATATTTATACATATATATATATATATATATATATATATATATATATATATATATATATATATATATATATATATATATATATATATATATATATATATATATATATATATAAAACACTTTTATGTAAATATATATATATATATATATATTATTTATTTATTTAAATATGTAATTATTCACAAACATTTGGTTTTATTTTCTCCATACTATCTAAAATACAATATTTTCTATTATCATGTTGAAATACAGGTATCTGAATGTCTATTTCAGTATTCGGAAAGTTATTGGAATAAACTGAAGAAGACAATCAGTTAGCAAATACTTCTTTATTAGATTGTAAAAGCTGCCAAACATAAACTATCGAATAATTCAATCATTTAGTGCAATGTTTTATTAAAGTCTTCAGTAAAATTTTAAGTCCCGTGAAATGTTTTGGGTTAACCAAGATAGCGGCGGTTTTTTGAAACTGGCTTCAAAAAAATCACGTGACACCGTCTCCTGTTTATTAAAGCTCCTTGCTTTGGGCAAATCAACTGAAATCAAAACTGTTTTTGATGAGCTTAAAACTGATTTTAAAAATTATTTTCATAAATACAAAGGTACTGTTTGTCTAAAATTTGATATGATGCTCAAATCCCGTTTTACATTAATTTTTTTAAAGAAACGGACCATAGTATGTTTAAGTATGTGAAGTATATAATTTTATAGTATGTAATATTATATCAAGGGTACTACCGCTTTCATTTGGAGTATCGAAACTCTAAATAAAAGCGGTAGTACCCTTGATATAAAATTTGCTTGCTTGTTATAAATAATCTTTTATAACAAGCAAAGCGAGTTGATTTCGTTAAAGACTCTGATCGTGATGGTCAAATCAAAAAAGTAAACAAAAAAGCATGGTTGCATTCAGCTTTTTTGATCAAGTGGGAATAAATGAAAATGTTTCACAGAAATGTGAAAACACTGACGGAGAGGAAAAAAGTATAATAGCAAAAATCCTTGAGGAAAAACTCAAAATTTAAAAGAAAAATGGTACAATTAAAAAATATCTTAAATAATAATTTTTAATAAATTTAAAAAAATAACAATTTTATGAATAAAAATGTTATTTTTTTTTTTATTAAATTAATTATAAGTTTAATTAAAAATTGACGTTAATTTTCAAATTAATTATTTTGTTGCATTCAGTTACTAAAAATTTATTTACAGGTTTAATATTACTGCAAGCCTAACCCTGGCAGGCACAAACTATATATAGGCAGGCTGTGTCTACCTGTAGTTACGGGTAGTTTTTGCATTTCGTATTTTTAATCTTTCATGCAAAACATAATTATTTATCAAATAGAAATGTTTATTCGTTATTATATGAAGAGCTTATTTTCAAAACGCGGTAAGCGCCAATTTCAAAAAATTTGTGTTAAGTGACTAATTTTGAAGAGAAAGCTAAATCCTTTCAAGCCGTGTTTGTAACTAATAAATTAGACCTAATTTTTTTTTTTTAATATAGGCTCTAAAAATAATTTATTTTCAAAACGCGGTACAATTTTTTTAGTTTATTTTTAATGTGCTGTATATTTTTTTGACCAATCGGTGCTTACATAAAGTTACTCCACCCAAGCGCAATAAACATATTTAAATAATAATAATAAAGAAGGCTGATTTGGATGGCTTAGATGAAAGTGTTGTGTTAACGTTAAAATCACGAAAAAGAAAAAAACAATGTTCTGCAAGAGAGAAAAAAAAGTTATTTAGACATTCAAGTGGAGGAAATATTCCTTCTATATCATGTAATCATGTTTCAGGTTACTGCAAAGTGAGTTTTTTTGGTTTTATTGATCTTCGTATGTTGAAATTTATAATTCAGTTATGAGTTTAAAGTTTTAATATACACAATGTAAGATTACTTAGCATAGTTTGTGTTTATGACAAAATAATCATTTATTGATTGATTTATTTCAGGCTCGAGATATAAACGAATAATTTGCTTAAGCATCATACAAAATATATAGTATTGCAAGTAAAGTATCACAAGATGCTACTATACTGTCAATGCTTAATATAATCAACGTGAAAAGAGTCCGAGTGAAATATAATAATTGAAAAAAGTTTAGAACTAAAAGTATTGAGTACTTTTTTATGTTTCGAGGGAATTAAAGTACAAGTTTGCCAAGCTTCATTTTGTTCAATATTGTGTGAGTATAAAATTACTTTACTTTTAATTCAGAAATAGAATATATAATTTTGTTAAAAAAAAAATTAGTGAAAAAAAGTTAATATTTTATTAATTTATTCCAGCCATAAAACCTGATAGAGTTTTAAGAATTGCAAGAAACTGGTATGAACATAGAACAACCAGACCTGAAAATAGAGGAGGAGACAGGAAGAAAGTAGCTTTTTATGAAAAAAAAGAAGCTATTAAAAACCGTATTCAGTCTTTTAGTTGCAGAGAAAGTCATTATGGAAGAAAAGATGCTCCAGGTCGTAAATATTTGCCCTCGGATTTAAATGTATAGTGATGTTCGAACTTTTTTTTGGATAAAAACAATACTTATACTGTAGGCTACCATTATTATTATTATTATGGGGTATTTATGAACCGTTTCAATTTAGCTTTTGGATACCCAGCAACAGATACATGCTCTACATGTCAAACATATAAGTTAGCTATGAAAAACAAAAATATTATGGATGACCAAAAAAAAATTAAAAACTGCTCTTTTCATTCTTCATCAAAGGAAAACCAGACAATTTTATAGTCTTCTCAAAGATATTCATCACAATGAGATCACTATCTGTTTTGACATGATGGAGAACCTTGTACTACCAAAATTATCAATTGGAGAAACCTACTATTCTAGGCAGCTTTATTTTTTATGTCGTTGGTGTTGTTATTCATAAAGGTGATAAGTAAAACATAAGGGAAACATTTAGACCATTAGAAACATTTGGAATTAAATAACTGTTAAACTTGTTAAGAAAAACGATGTTTTTCGTCTTCTCAATCTTGTAGGAGTGAAAAGCAGAATACTTACTATGTATAAAACACTACTCTGTAATGCCACTAAAGATGATACTAACTTTAGTGAAGAAGATAGTTCGTAATTTGATTTAATTGTTTTTTAGCTGTGAATTTTGTAAACATGTTTTAGTTAAGATACAAATATTTTAAAAAATTTCCAGCACAGCATGATTTATTTTGCTGTTTTTTTATTTTATGTTATTGAATACAAGAATACAATAGTCATTAGCATCTTATATATTTTTATAGTTGCACTTGCGAATTGCTTAAAAAAAGTTGCTGATTTATATAAAATGAGAACAAGATTTTAAGGTCGACCTTAGAATGCATAAAAAAATAATATGTTTCATTAATAAATATATTTTATTAATGAAATGGTTATAAAGCGTTTTGTTAATATATAATACTTGGATATACAGCGTTTTGAAACAAAACAAAAATAACCACGGAAAATATACATCGATTTTATAAAGTTTGATTTCAGCATATATTGTAGTCTTATTAATAAAGTACATGTTTAACTAAATCAATAATAACTTATTCCAAAATACTTAATTTCTTTATGCAGGGGAAAAGTTCTATTTACTTAAAACCCAAAAAATGGATTTACAGTATTTTGAAAATGAGCTCTTTATATAAAAGTTGAACAAGAATATTATGTTCTCCTTACTTGATTAAAGATATAAAATATTAGTTTAAACATTCAATTGATTCACTTCTAATTTAGCCTATCAACAAAAACATGAATGTTCTTATAAGTGGTAGGGTGTTTGCAATTATACCAGCTCCGTGCAGCCATGGCGCAGTGGTTACAGCGATTGGTTATATGCAGGAGATTCAGGTTCGAAACGAGCTCTAAACATATTTTTGCGTCATGGTAAGGAAGGAGGCGTGAACTTCCTGGTTAAATGCGCTTCCGCGGTGCTTTGTGACAAGTTTGTTAGGTCTTCCTGATGCACCTAAATAACGGAAAATACAAAAAAAATAATAATAATTTCCGATAAAGACACTTCCCAGTGGGATTTGGCAAGGTTCTCAATGAAAATTTTGTGTGCACTTCCTTCATCCGTTAAGAGAATCTCTCTTTTAGCACAACGGGAAACATATTTTAAGCTGTTAAAATCTCTCTTTTAGCACAACGGGAAACATATTTTCAGGCTGTTGCCCGAGCATGGAGAACAGACTACGTTTTTAAATTATAATTTGCCTAATTTCTAACAATAGATAACCAATCTAAACGTAATAAACTAATAAGTATAATAAAAATAACTTTCCTCACTTGTAATTAATAATTACTAAATGGTAATTTTATTATACTTCAAAGTACAAACTAATGTAAACTAAACATTGCTTATTATATGAGTTTAAAGTAAAGACTTGATTAATCAAACAAGAAACCAAATTAGTTTTATAGTTTACACCCTAGTTCAACTATTAATTTGTATTTAGTAATTACTAATTAGCAAGTCATCTTTTTTCCATATAACATTAAACTTGTTCAAACAAGGCATAGTTACATCATAAAACCCTATAATATCGTGTAATTAAAAAAAACCTTGATGATTTGTTATATTTAAATACCTTATTCGCAAAAATACATATCATTACAGTACATATATTTTGCAATATGCAGTATATATAATAACTGCAGTAAAATGTTAAAAAATGTTTTTCAGCAACTAATATTATCCCTAGATAGCTAAGTCTGTGAGGTAGCAAATTTTATCTCTAAAAGTGCAAAAGCTTCGGCTTCGGCAAAGTGAGCTTCGGCTTCGGCAAAATCTTAGCTTTGGTACATCCCTAAATTTAATATGAGTTATGTAAGTAATATACGCTTAAAAGTAAATCGCGTTT